GTTAGCATTTTTTGCATTTGTGTGATTATATCTGCTTTTTGTATTATTGAATAATAGTAATTTATTATAATTTATTATTAATAAATAACAGGATGTGATCTAATACTTGTAAAGAGCATTTTACTTTTTTTTCTCTTAATGTGATTATATTTGTAACTATTCCGACAGAAAAGTCAGAGAGGTACTTTGCATCTTTTCGGGATAAATTTTTGACAAAAACATAATTCCAATTAGCGCACAATATTTGTTAAAATAAAACGAAGAGGTAACGACTTTTCTTTAAATAGTAGAAAATGTGAAAGACAAAAAAGATGAGATTGTGGGTGATTCGTTTCTATTCTCATTTTTCAATCTGAGCGGAAAAAAAGGGTTAATAAACCGAAACTTTAAAGCAAATGTCACTTGGCGTCTCAGCTACGCCAGACTCAAAGGCACTTCGTCGTCGCCGTTTGAATTTCAATTCCGACTGTTTGACGTTCATCCCGTCGTCTTCAAACTATTCTTCACCACGTCGTGAGTCATTAGTATCTACTCCTACCCTTCGACCCACTGATTTCATGCAAATGACTGTTGACTCAGTAACGAGTGAGTTGTACTATAACCCCGAGATGAAAGAGGTCTGTATCGTTCATATAGTTGTGATCAATACCCCAGAGAAGCCACATTTCCAGTTACATAAACTCGACAACGAGTTCATTGATTTGGACAACTACGTGAAGTCGATCTTTGAGAGTCCTCCCACCTTTCCAAGGAAGTCGTTGTATCCATTGCGAGATGTAGAAATCACTCAATACCTCCAAGAGGTCATTTGCTTGGACAGATTCTTCGACGCGTTATTCACTCGCGAATTCTTTAAAGAAAATCGGAATGTTTTGAAGTGGATGTCATTACACCATCCACAGCTTTCGGGAGTCTTAATGAAAGAAGGGTATCTACTGAGGAGATGGAAAGAACGATTTGTAGTCGTCAAGAACACGTTTCTGTTCTATTTTGTGAACGAGAAATCAATGCTCAAGTTGGAGCAACCCCACAGTGTCGTCAACTTAAACGAAGCAACGCTCTCGACATCACAAAATAACTTCACGTTTAAAATTACTACAAAAGAGAAATTAACGTTCAACTTCATGTGTAAAAATGAGACGGAATTAAACGAATGGATCGTCGCGTTGAACTCGGTGATTTGTTTTAAGCCGTATGCAGAAAGGTCGAAGCCACTGGCCAAAAGGAGTTTAATGATCGACTCGTGCAACTTACAGACGTCGATGAATAGAAAATCGGTTGGCGACAATTTGTCTCCCACAGGCACAGAACTGTTGTTGAACCAATTGAACGGATTGAAAGAAGACGCTGGGAAGTTGATGCTGAAGCTTGGAGAAAAGGACGAGTTATATGGTGTGTTACAACAAATTAAAAAGATCCAATTAGTCGACTTAAACTGTACGGGGATAGTCGATTATTATACATCGAAGCTGATACCATTTCTTGAGAATAAAGACATCATCAAGTTCTGGCATTTCTTCAGAGACTTAAAGGATACAAATTGCGTGAAAGGAGTACCTAAATTGAGTATTTCGCCACTCTCTAGATATAGTACAACATCATCAAGTTCAACGCAGAACTCCCCGAGAGGGTCGGAAAAAGCCGCATCACAACAAACGCAGTGTCGGCTTTGTAATAACTTCTATAATGTCGAAGACTTGACAAAACACAGTTATTACTGTAAGTTGTGTAATGAAATTTGTGGGAAGCAGATGCAATGTAAAACGCGATTGTTGGCACTTGCGGAGGAAATCAACAAACAGCAGAGATACCACAAGAACGTTAATTCATTTCGATACTTGGCGGATGTCGCGTTGAAGTGTTCCCAAATTGAAGTGGTCAACATGGAAAATGTTGAACTGATGAGGAAGGAAGAATCCAAGTTGAAGGCGATTCACAATAAGATGAACGATGTGTGTTACAAGACGTTTTCGTTTAT